AGTTCGATGTCGAGACTCGGAATCGTCTGTGGACGACTTAGGTACCTGGCGGGGTGTTGTACTCGGTAGAGCAGTTACCACGCTGCGATCTGTTGAGACTCAGCCCTTGGCTTGGGGATTCGTCTTGTCGGTTAGACGAGACCCCAGTGCCTAACCACGAAGTATATATTATATAAATATATATATGTATATATATTGTGACGTGGTGGATTTCACCCGTCTTGTCCTCGGCGGAAAATCACGGCGAAACGCGATACGGGCCGAAAGGCCATAGCAAAGTCCAGGCAGGATCCACCGACCGCAAGGGCCTAAGTTAAATTACGATGGATTATTTTATGAATTCTTTTGTTTTGCGTGTACTCTGCCGGAGTTCGAATAGGTGCTCGCTCGCCGTGTCCGTGAAGACGCGGAGAAAGAGAGAGGGAGAGCCAGCTGGAGTCCCAGGAGGAAGGGAGCTGCGACACGCGAGGGTCGACACTCGCGCTATCTGCGGACAGCAGCTCTACTGGCCCCGGAGGCGCGCGCAACGCGGGACAGCTTGACGTCACGCGGCAGCAACGCACTCTACTCAGCTGGTACTCAACCACGACGACTGCAAGCGGCGCGTACAGCGCCACCCAACTGAGCACCACTACCGACCCCTATGGCATAGCGCCCATCGTCAGTTTGCGCATAATTATATTTCCGCGAGTTGGGAATCCAGGGACGCCTGGGGCACCCTCGCGCGAGAACGAATGTTACTCTTCGTAGGACCAAGAAGTATAAATTGTCCACAAGAGATGATGGAAATTATTAATTGTCGCGATGACATATTCGAAACTGGCGCGTGGCAAAGACGCTGGGTTGAAGGATTCGTCCGCAGAGCGAATCGCCGCCCATTAGCCTAAAGGGAGGGGGTGCTATCCTCCACCCGAAGACAAAGAGCGTGAAGATCGAGAGATTCCTGCTTGGACACGCGTAGACGTTAGACGTTTTGTTGATTGGAATTGTTGAGTACGCGAGTGCACAAAGTGCCGGTGGGCTATCGATTGAGTTTTCTGGGATTACGCGACCTGAGAACAACACGGTAAGCGAGGATATCTGACTTTTGTGAGCGACGTAACTTCGTGCAAATTGTGGTACCTGATTTTGTTGTTTTTCGTACATTTTAACTGCGCGTGTAACGAACACGCGGAGGGATAATCCCTCACCTCGAAGAAGTCCACGGCACGAAGGTCCGTCGACCGGCAGGGTTCACTGTTAGAATTGTCGTTAGATCTTCTTATTGAATTGGAATTTGTTTTACGTATCCGAATTGTTTCGTGTCGTCCGCCCGTCAGGCATTTCTACCTTTTGATTTTGTAACGCGTAGAACGCGTACAGGTCTTTGACGGTCGGTTGTCGTATTTTGGTAAACGCGGATTAGCCGTGTTACGACTTTGGCTTTGAATTCGTACGGTACGCAAATACCCGTTACTATCTTGTGATTGTACTTTGTGATTGTCTTTTCGATCTATATTAATTACTATTTCTTTTGTAAATATTTACTTCGGTATTGTAAGAAATCGTCGCGCTTCGCGCCGCCGATTTTATTTAATAAACCGAACCTTCCTTGAATATTAGAGATCGAAGTGTCCGAATGATTTTGTGTGTCGCGTGATCGTCTGACCCATCCGACCTATTGTTCCGAATCCCGCTGCCTCCGCATAGCTGAGTTAGCCAACGTAGACACGCGAAGACGAACCGTAGAACTGATACATGGTTCCCGTTTTGGAACCTGGCGCTCAACAATACCTTAAGTATTCCGAGAGTGAAATTTGTTAGCCCCTGGGTTGCCTGGAACGCGTAGGAATCGCATAAGTTGTGCGCCGGTCGGTCTTTTTCCGGTGAGGTCGATCGCGTAAAAATACGTCACAATATATATATTGTATATAGAGAGAGAGAAAGATAAGTTTGTGTATTCGTGGGTGAGCACGGCCATTATAAAGTTTATAAATTAATAAGGAAAAAGGTGGTGAAAGGAAAAGGAAGCGAGATATTATTATATTTATATACATATATAGTAGAGAGCAGTTTCAATACTGCTCGATCCGTTTTGATATTTACTGCTGAAAAACCAATGCGCCAGGAGGGACTTTGCGTTCGCGCCGCGAACACGACGTGTGCTACTACAATGTACGCGGGGCACGAGCGGGACGCCGTGCTCCTACAGCGAACGAAAGCGATGCGCCAGAAGGGACATCATAATAGACTAGCAGAGAATGATGATGATTACACTTCACTCAATCGCTTGCAACACGCCGTGTATCTAAACGAATTCTAAAATGTATAATTTGATTCGCTGTATGCTCTGGCACAATAATTTCGTTATTTGGCGTAGGTCAGATTGATTTATTTTTGCCGTGATTGATTTCTCCCATTTAAACACGAGCTAAACCGCCTATCTCCTCGACCGCTCCTCGGCCCAGGCCGTACTGTTAGTGGGTAGTGTTACTCGGCGTCGAAACGATCGAACGCTGTTCGTAGTATTCGCCTTGGCACGACGCTACGCAGGAGATACTACACCGAGGGAAACTTCCTTGTTCAATCTGTGTGGCAATACCCCTGTCGACGAAGTATGCGATTATTGGAGAAATGTAAGATGCATTCTTTTGCAACCACTGCGCCGTGGCGTTGTTGAAATAAAATTCCATTATTTATTGGACGCGCACTTGATGAATAATGCCCCAGAGCCGATTGCAAGTTTTGCCGTACTTTTGGAAAGGGCGCCAGGTATAGACTCTACGTGTTTCTTCCATTTATCCCTGTGTTAAACCGCCTATCTCCTCGACCGCTCCTCGGCCCAGGCCGTACTGTTAGTGGGTAGTGTTACTCGGCGTCGAAACGATCGAACGCTGTTCGTAGTATTCGCCTTGGCACGACGCTACGCAGGAGATA